CCACCTGTGGGTGTGTCCTGTGCACTTGCTTGACTCCAGACGGGCCCTAGGGATAGAAGAAATGCAGGTCCCCTAGGGAGAAGGGGTGAGTCATTTGTGAAATGAATGATGTCTTGTCTGAAGCAGGAGCATGGGTGTGTGCCGCCACGGTGAGGGGCGTGGGGTGGTTCGGGGGAGTAAGAGAGCAGTGGTCTGCTGTCAGAGGAGCCTCCTGTGAGGGGGGCAACTCAGCTTTGCTTCTGCCCGGCTCTTCGGCACTGTCCTGCCCACATCCAGGCCCTGGGCACTGCAGGGCTCTCCCTCGCCTTCCTGCATGCTGCTCCCCAGCTCTGCCTGCTGTCCCCGCTGTCCCTGCCTGTCTCTTGTCCCATCTCTGTGCAGCTCTTTTCCCTCTGGGCTGCTCTCAGAGTCCTGCTCCCACCTCTGTCAGCTCCTGCCTGCCCTCGCCTTCCACGGTGCCCTCCCTCTGTCCCTGGGGCACAACCCCAGCTTGGCAGGCACGCTCTGGTGAGGCCTGGAGTCAGCCCTGGAAATCTCTGCCTCTGCGCTCCATATTCCACAGTGCAGCCACCATCTCTGGGGTCCAAAACTCTCAGGCAGCCCAGAAAAGCTGGTGTCTCATCTTGCCAGGGCCAAGGGGCTTAGCATATGATGTCACACCTGGCATTTTCCTCTGGCTCCCCTTCCTGTAGGGAAAGCCAAGCCTCGGAGGCTGCGTGGAAGCTGAAATATCATAGGCCAACACCTATTGGCTGTGTTACCTTGGGCAAGTTACTCAGCCTTTCTGAGTCTCAGTTTCCAGCTCTGTACAATAAAACCAACCTTGCTCACCTAAATGTGTTTTTGCCAGGCAAAGGGAAATGAAGGAAAAGATCTAGTTACGTACTCACACTCTGTACAGTTAGAACAAACTGTAGCATCATCCCATCCGATCTTACCCATCAGTCAAGTGAGAGCCTTGGAGAAGTCCCAATAACAGGCAGGAGTGTGATATTCAGTCCCCCATATATGATGTAAGGTCCCCAGGCTTTCTGCTGCTAGCTGATGGGGTCACTGACCCAGGGAGGAAGGAGATGTGGCCTCTTTTCAGAGGCTGGCAACATCCTGGAAGCTTCCACCCAGCATGTGGGGCTGATCATGTGGGGCTGATGTCCAGCAGTGCCCAGAGCAGCCCAACCAGTTCACGAAAACTCTGAGGCCCAGCCTAAAGCCTTCAAGGTGTGACCTCACCAGGCCAGTGGGGCTCTCAGGCCCTTCCCCACCTTGGACTCTGCTGCACCCAGGACAGTAACAGGTGTAAGAAGCAGCAAAACTCATCTGCTCCCTGGGGTGCAGAAGACACAGAATCTTGCCTTCGGGGACATCCAGCTTTGTGGGACAGGAGGAGACAGGAGATCAGAGCCTTGGAGTCAATTGCAGGCAGAGTCAGGACAGAGTTGAAGGCCTAGGGAGGTCCCTAGAGGAGAACAGCAGCACACGGGCAGCAGGGCCTCCTTTGCACCCTGTTCCTGGAACCTGAGGCCTGAATCAAGGGGAGGGGTGGGTCCAGGCTGATGGGAGCCAGACCTGGAGCTAAGTCCCAGGGGGGCTTGAGTGGAAGGGCTTTGTGGGAAGCGGCAGCGTGTGCAGAGCCACAGGGAGAAAAGCAGAGTTGTCCTGTGGGGACCCTGACAGGGCCAGTTGGCCGTTGCAGAGGTGGGATCGACTGATAGAGGCTTCTGTGCCCGCTTTGTCGACCACCTGCAGATGGCAGGATGGGTGCCATCAGCATGTTGCACTCTGGGGCATCCCTCAGGACCTGCTGTTTGTACCCAAAGATCTCAGGACCGTAGGGACAGTCCAATGTGCCCTCCTTCCTGCTGCTCCATTTTATGTTTTGCAGATGGGAAACCCAAGAGGCCAGGCCCTGACCTCTGCTCTGTCCAGTCCCTGCAGGCCGGGAAACAGCCAGGACTTGCCTTTCACCTCCATGGCCTGAGTTCAAGCGGGGCTTTGGAGAGGAAACCACCCGCTGCCCCGCCCGCCCTGCACTGGCTGGGCAGGCGGCCCTCCCTGCCCTGTATGGCTGGGTCTGCCTCCCTCTGCTGCCTCTCTGGGCCTCAGTTTCTCCATCTGTAACATGGGAATGAAGTCAGGTCAGCTGAGCACTCTATCCTTTCAGCTTATAGGTGGTGTTTGTCTTGAATTGGGCTAGGGACAGAGAGCTGCACAGTCCTTGGGGATAGACTAGAGGACACTGGAGGTCGGGGAGCCGAGAGGACCTCCCTTCTCTGCCTGTGGAGCAGTCTCTGAGTAGGGGTGAAGCTGTGACCCTATGGTGGGGTGGGTGGGGCGTTGAGCTGCCAGGCAGGGCAGACTGCTCCGAGGCCTCTGGCTGCCCGGGATGCCCGAGGGGCCACTGTGAGCAGGGGAGCATGGCCACAAGGTGGGGACAGGACTTTTTTCCAGGGTGTAATTAGTGCACTTTTGGACATCCACCGAACTTCCCCTTCCTCTTGACAGTTCCCTGTCCAAACAGATCTGATTCCTGTGGACTTGCTTAAATCTTCTCCAGAAAAAAAAAAAAAAAAAAAAAAAGAAAAAGAAAAAGAAAGAAAAAGGAGAATAAGAGGGTTGTTATTTGTGAAATTGCACTTCCCAGCCATGAGGGTGAGTCACACCATTTGGAGCCTCAAGTTTCTTGTTTGGATGAACTTTTCTCTAAGGGGCTGGGACCATGCTGGGCTCCATCTGGCTGATTGGGGGTGGGGGTGGGGGTCTGCAGAGAGCCTTGGAGGGAAGATAAGGAGAGGCCTGAAGGTGGAGAAGTCCAGGCTCCCGAGGGCTGGACCTGGCTGCTGGCACCAGAATAGCTTGGGGAGCTGGGGGGAAATGCAGATTTAGGCTGGGGGAGGGGAGAGCAGGGAGTTAAAGTCTGCCGGGTGCAGAGTTTCAGTTTGGGAAGATGGAAATGTTCTGGAGGTGGACGGTGGCCACGGTTGCACAACAGTGTAAAGGCTCTTCATGCGACTGAGCTGTGCACTTTAAAATGGTGACTTTGGTCATGTGTATCTTGCCACACAGGGAAACATGCAGATTCTGGGCCCTCCCATGCCAAGTGGCTGCTTTGGTGGGTCTGACATGGGGTCCAGAGAACTGTTTGTGTTACAGGTTTCCCAGGCTCTCCAATACAAGTTTGAACTCACTCATTTAATCTGTATAATGGGGACAGTGACTCACAGGGTGTTGGTGAGACCAGTTATCTGAATGTGTGTGGTGTTTCCAGTGCTAGAGTGGTAAGCGTTTGGCATATCACCACGATGGAGTCTGAAATCCATCTGAGCCCTCCCTGCACTCTGCAAGGGGATCTCCTACTGGGCTTCTACAGAGAGGGGGCCCTCTGCCCCTGGGGTGGATCACTCCATTTTAGGCTCATCTGAAACAGGAAGAGGCACTCCGGAAAATGCTGGCTGGTGTGGCATTGTCTGCTGTCCTGGCTGTCCTGATGGACCAGGCAGTGGTAGAGCAGAGTTGGGGTGTCAGGACCCATTGAGTTCTGTTTTCCAGTCACTTTAGGATGGTTATGTGAGGGCCAGGGCTGCTCCAGGTATGGCGTCTGTGTCTTTCCTTCTATGTGCCAGGATCTGATGCAAAACTTTATAAAAGGGACAGAGGTTCAGAGAGGGCAAGAGTTGTCCCACAGTCACACAGCATAGTGTCCTGAGGGACCAAGATCAATAGTGGCACCCAGTTGATGGGGGTTTTGTCTTCTAAGAGGGGAGAAACAGACCTCTAAAGATGGACACTGTAGGGAGTGAGATGAATGGGTGAGGAGCTGTACTGGGGATGGGGGACAGAGGAGGGTGTGGCCCTCAGCACAACTCTCAACTTTCCTCCTTCCCCCTCCTACACTGAGGGGGGCACAAAAAGGACTGTCCCCACCCTGGGCTGCTATGTGTCCTATCTTTGTCACGGAGCTCTAGGTTCTTCCTTCCAGGGTCCCTGCTTCCCCATCAGCTTGAAGACTCCCAAGGACAAGTCCTCTCCCCCCCATCAGATCCAAGGCTCCCCAGGATCACAGCTTACCCTTGCAAGTTCCTGGGCACCTGTGTTGGAGCCAAGGGGTGCCTAGCCCCATGCCCAGGTTGGTCTTCGGGCCGCCTGTAGAATCTCCCTCTTTCTAGCCTTGGCCATTCTGTAGGCAAGGGGACCCATGGCCGATCCATGCCAGCCTCACCGCAGGGCCCCACCTTCTCTAAATTCCGGTGTGCCAGGCCGCCCGGAGCCTGGGACTCCTATAAATAGAGGCTGTATACACCAGGAGGGGCCTGGCCGCCTCTGCTTTGAAGCTCAGTGGCAGGTCTGGTTCCTGTCTTCTGGGGGTGGGAGAGGTGGGCCGCTTCCCTCCTGGGGCTCTCTGAGAGGTGGCCTGAGCCCCGCCGAGCTCCCAGACACAGACTAAAGGCTTCTGGCCACAGGAGGCCAAGTGGGGCTCAGACCCCTGTAAAATGGAATCGGCGCTGTCGGCTGCCATGCCTCTTCCTTATAAGATGGGGAAACTGAGTCAGCATGACTCAGCCAAATTTCCTCTGCCAGCCAGTGGCAGAACCCCCAAATCTAACAGGTTGCTTTCTACACCACCTTCCTACCTTGTGGCGGTGCGTAAGGGAGAATTAATTGTAATAATGATAATCATAGTCACTGTGGTCATCCCTGTGGACTGAGTGGTTCCTAAGTGCCTGACCTCATGTTAGCCTTGTAGAAACCCTGGGAGATTGCTGTCATTGGTTGGGCCCCTTGTGTAGCAGAGCTACCGTCGCCCCACGGGGGATCACTGGCTCGTCTTAGGACACACAATTCGGGATCTGGACTCAGGGGCCAGAGCCCTGGGGCAGCTGAAGGCTCTGCATAAGCTCGTGTGTGTGTGTGTGTGTGTGTGTGTGTGTGTGTGTGTGTGTGTGTGCTGGGCCATGAAACCTCCTTCCGGCTGCCCCCGCGACCCACGCCTCTGTCCCTCGCAGGCCCTGAGCAGTAGCGCCTACAAGAGCGCCTCGCCCTACGGCTCCCTCAACAACATCGCCGACGGCCTCAGCTCCCTCACTGAGCACTTCTCGGACCTGACCCTCACCTCCGAGGCCCGCAAGCCCAGCAAGCGGCCCCCGCCTAACTACTTGTGCCACTTGTGCTTCAACAAAGGACACTACATCAAGGACTGCCCCCAGGTAAGGCAGCCCTGACTCGGGGAGGGCTCGCAGGCTCCCTTGCTGACCTGGGGCAACGCTGGCCTGTGGGCAGGCACAGCGGCCTCCCCAGGAGCCCTCCCCTCAGAGAGTGGCCCCCTGGCCCTCTGGTCACCACCATTTTGTCCCCCCTGCTCTTGCTGAGACAAGGCTGCTGGTGTGGATGCAACAGAGGCCCAGCTTGGGCCTAACTAGCTGGGTGGAAATGAGTGGGGGATCCTGGACCCCAACGGGGCCCCCAAATGAGGTTTTGTGCCTTTTTGTCTCCACCAGCTCCTGCAGGGTGGGTCCCCTTACGGTGGGGCAGGACGGGGCCAACGGCCTCCTCATAGCTCTCTGGAGGCCCCATCTGCTCACACTCACTCAGAAGGAATGTGGGCTCCTGGCCAGGAAGCCAGATGTGCGCCCCCTCCTCGGACCCCACCTCTGCCTCCTCAGCCTGCAGAGATGAGGGAAGGGGGTCCTACCCCACTCTCCATTCCCCAGACAGGTCCGGGAAGGCTCAGGCACCAAGGGATTGGGCATCTCTCTTGGGGTACATGGGGGCCAGGACATGGAGGGTGCTGGGGAGTGCCCCCCCTTACCCAGTGCTTCGCTGAAGATGAAGTGGGACCTCTGGGGCAGATCCCAAACTCTTCCATAGACGTGGCTCTGGGATCCTGGGGGAAGCAGTCAGCAGCTGTCTTTTAAAATACGGTATGAGATTATTGCTGATTTTTCCCCCTGTTTTTTTCGTATTTTCCAATTATTTTATAATGCGATGCTAGTTAGATTTGATAAATGTAGTAGAAATGGAGTCCTGGAGACTCCGAAGGTCCACATAGTATTACCTTCCAGATTTGGGGAGTCAACTGTGGCCGTGTAGGACTGGGTCCAGAGCCACAGGAGGCTGATCTGTGCTTGTTGCTGTCACACACATCAAGCTCTTCTCAGGAACAGCCATCCCAGGCTTCGGGTCCTGGCTTCTCAGAGTGCAGCCCACGGACCACAGCACCAGTATTTCCTGGGGCTTGCTAAAACCCGTGAGTCCCTGACCCACCCAGACCTCACTGGGTAAGATCCCCAGATGATGTGTTCCCCTGACCTGGACCCCTCACAGTGGGAGCTGGCCCACAGTGCCAACCTCAAGACCTGCTACCCCGCCCCTGGGCCCTGTCTCTGAACAGATGCAGTAAGCAAGAGGCCCTTGGCATGAGGAGCTCCTTGCAGAGATTGACCCCCACTGTCAGGGTTCTCTAGGTAGATGGGGGACAAAGGGGCAGGTAAGGAACTCATGCACTGTGATCTTTGAGCTACTCAGTGGAGTAGCTGGATTTTCACCTGGGCAAGCCAGTGTCTTTTAAAAGCTGGGGCAGAGGGTCCCTCCCTTCCCAGCCCAGTGCTAACGCTGGTTCTTCCTGTATCTGGATCATTATCTCTTAATTCAGTGTCAGAAGTAGGAGTAGTGGTCCCATTCCACAGCTGAGTCTCCAAGAGATGAAGCATTGTAGAAGGGGTAGGACAGGTATGAGGACTCTGCTCATGGGGCCTCTGTGCCCTGCCTCCCTGAACACTCATGCCACTCCAAGCTGAGTCTCCCTGTCTATGGAGCCTCAGTCTCTTTCTTGAGCTGGCTGAGACCTTTTCCTGACCCATCCCAAACCTGATTCTGCCCAGGACCCTGAAGGCCCAGGGATCCCCTACCCATTTCACAAGGGGTAGAATGACAGAGGTTCACAGTCTTCCTCTCGTCCCCTGTCCAATGGGACTAGTGGGAACACTCTCCCACACAAGTGCTTGAGGATGCAAGGAAATGCCTAGCATGGTGCCCTGTATACAGGAAGCACTAAATAAATGCTGGCTAGAATAATTTATTTCTCCTTTGGGTTACCTTGAAAAGTGTACCTATCTTGCAAGGTACTAGGTAGTTTGGCAAGGCTGGGTTTAATTGGACTCTGTCCACGCCACCTCACCTGACCACAAGCTACAGGGTTGGCATTGGGCTAGATTCGTCCCTGAACCCCCTGCTGTCTGACACCCACCCAAGACACTTCACCAGCAGGTGCTCAGCACAAGTGCTCCTGAAGGAAGGGAATGGGTTTACAAGTCTTTTATAAGCCATGGAAGGAAGCCTGTGTTTCAAATGAATAATTGTATGAGTTTGACATAAATAATATGAAAAAGATTCTAGAATGTTCTTTTTTCGGTAACAGCCTTAATGAGACAGAATCCATTCACCATATAATTTACCCATTTGAGATGCATAGTTCAGTGATTTTTAATGCACTCAGGGTTGTGTAAACCATGACCATCAGTCTCAGAATCTGTTTTTCAACTCAGAAAAAGAGCTTCATACTCGTGAGGAATCCTCTCCTGATGGTCCATCCCCACCGCATCGGCTCACCTCCTTTCTCTCCCTCTAGAGAAACGGAGTGGTATAATAACGTGCATCTGGTGACTGGCCTTCTTCACTGAGCATGACATTCTCCAGGTTCATCCTTGTCACGTGTGCCCGTTTCTGTGATTTGGGAAGTGTTCTATCATGTTCTAGTCTCTGGATGAGACTGAAGAGAGTGATCATTAATTCTCCTTTCGAGGTCTGGCAGAATTCACCTCTGAAGCCATCTGGGCCTGGGCTTTCCTTTTGTGGGGAGATCTTTGATGACTAGTTCCATCTCTTGTTCTGGATCTGTTCTGATTGTGTATTCCTTCTTGATTCAGTTACTACAGTTTGTGTTTTTCTAGGATTTTGTCTGTTTCATCTAACTTATCTAATTTATTGGTTTACCATTGTTCCTGGTGTTCTCTTATAATCCTTTTTATTTCTGTAAGGTCAATAATAATGTCGCCCGCTTCCATTTCTGATTCTTGTAATTTGAGTTTTCTCTCTTTTCTTGGACTGATCTAACTAACTAAAGGTTTGCCAATTTTGTTGAACTTTTCCAAGAACCAACTTTTGATTTAGTTGATTTTCTCTGTTGTTTTTCTGTTCTCTGTTTCATTGCTTTCCACCCTAATCTTTTTGTTTTTTAATTTTTTTAAATTTTCATTTGTTACGTATGACAGCAGAATGCATTACAATTCATATTACCCATATAGAGCACAATTTTTCATATCTTTTGGTTATACACAAAGTGGAGTCACACATTCATGTCTTCACACATGTACTTGGGGTAATGATGTCCATCTCATTCCACCGTCTTTTCCTACCCCCGTGCCCCCTCCCCCTTTCCCTATCTATCTAAAGTTCATTCCTCCCATGACCCACCACCCCCTGCAACCCATTATGAATCAGTATCCTTAAATCAGAGAAGACATTCAGCATTTTTTTTTTTTGCAGGGGGGACTGGCTAACTTCACTTAGCATCATATTCTCCCACTCCATCCATTTCCCTGCAAATGTCATGATTTTATTCTCTTTTAATGCTGAATTCCACCTTCACCTTTTAAAACATTGTGGTAAAATACACATAACATAAAATATATCATCCTAACCCATTTTTAAGTGTATTAAATACATTCACAGTGTTGTGCAAACATCACGACTGTCATTCACAGAACTTTTTTTTTTAATCTTGTAAAACTGACTCTGAGCCCCTTAATCAACCCCCCTTTCCCCCTCTCCACCCCTGGTGATCACTATTTCACTTTCTGTCTCTGAGTTTGACTTCTCTAGATGCCTCATAGAAGTGGAATCATACCATATTTGTCTTCAGGGCTCATTTCACTTAGCATAATGTCCCCGTGGTGTATCCACATCTTAGCAGGTGTCAGAATTTCCTTTATTTTATTTTTTGTTTTAGTTGTAGTTGGACACAATACCTTTATTGAATTTCCTTTATTTTTAAGGCTGAATAATATTTCATTGGATGGATATACCACGTTTGTCTGTCACCCATTCATCAATGGGGATGCTTCTACTTTGGGGCTATTGTGAATATGGGTTTGCAAATACCTCTTCAAGTTCTTGCTTGATTCTCCACTCTGACCTTTATAATTTCCTCCCATGATCTTGCTTTGGGTTTAGTTTGTTTTTTTTTTTTTCTTTTTTCTTGAGGTAGAAAATTAGGTTACTGATCTTGTAACCTTCCCTTTTCAGTTAAGATGTTTGCAGCCAGGAATTTCCCACAAAACTGCATCCCATAAGTTTTAGTCTGTTGTGTCTTTATTTTCGTTTATCACAGAGTATCTTCTTCTTCTTCATGTGTTTCCTCTTGACCCACTGGTTGTTGAGGAGTGGGTTGTTTACTACCCACTTATTTGTGAATTTTCCAAATATCTTTTAATGATTTCTAACTTTATTCCATTGTGGTAAGAGAAAGTTTGAATTATTCATCCCTTCTAAACTGATCGTGGTTTGCTTCAGAGCACGTGGGCTGTCCTGGAGGCTGTTCTATGTGCACTTGGGAAGAATGCATTTTGTTGCTGGGTGGAGTGTTCTGAGGATGTCTGTAGAGACTGGGTGGCTTAGAGTGATGCATCTGTCTCCTTTTGCCTTGTTGATATTCTGCCCCATTCTGAACATTATTTTCAGTGGGAATATTGAAGTCTTCAGCTATTATTTTTGAAGTATCTGCTTTTCTTTAATGCTCCTTTTTTTTTTTTGCTTCATGTATATTTGGTGCTTTGTTCTTAGGTGCATGTATGTTTCTAATTGTTTTGTCTCCTGATAGATTGATCCTTTATCATTCTAAAATATCCTTTTTTTATCTCCAGTAATATTTTTTTGTGTTAAAGTTTACTTTTTCTGATAGCAAATTCCCAGTTTTCAATGTTGCTACTGGCTTTTCCTATTCTTTTGCTTCTAATTTGTAGCTGTGTTTGAATCTAAAGTGTGTTTCCTGGGGACACCATATAGCAATTGCTTTTTGTTATCCAGTTGTTACTGGCAGGCAAGCCGGGAAACTGCCTGCATTCCAGCTGGCTGGATTCAGCTCCCCCAACCCACGTCCCTAGCTACAAAATAAGCAAAAGATGCAAAAAGGAAAGAGAGAGAGAGAGAG